AGTTCATCCTGCCTCAGCCTTGCTAATGGTAAATGTGTGCAGTGGGTAAATGTGTGCATGGATGGTGCCTACCCATGCCAGCACCCTTTGTCTCCCAGGGCTGGGCCTGCATGGCTCAGGGAAAGGTACAAACATTGCCCTGCACAAAATTACTGCAGAATCTGCTCTTGTGGAAAGCTGCTCCTTATACCATTGCCTAGAACTCATCTTCAATGCCCTGGAGCAAGAGGGTTTATAGCTCTTTGGAGTTCATTCCTATTTATTCTCATTGTCTATATAAATGTCTAGTCAGGTTTTTGTAATGAATGCCTTTTCTTGTTACCCAGTGGCAATGAGTTCACTGGATCATCAGTGTTTAGGATGAAAGTAATTCTCCCTGTCATTCATTTGGATTGCACTTTTTTCTCCTTTTGCCTTATATCCTGGCAGGTCACAAAAGGAGGAAATAAAAGAAGCTCATGCCAAGTCTAGGCAGTGTTCCCAGATACTCTGGGGTCTGTGATACAGGGACTGTGATATTGGACTTCGGCAGCATTTCTGGAGGCTTTGGGCAAATACAAAATACATCCTGGGGAAGTCCAGGATGGCTACTCTTAGGGCAGTACTGGAACATAGGAAGGTGAGTCCAAGGGCAGTTCCCATTCCCTGAGGCATCCCTCGCAAAGCCACCAGGCCAGGAGAATTGAGTACTTCCAAGTGGCATTTCTGGTGGTCTCAGCCTAGGAAGATTTGAAGAGTTTTTGGAGGCTTAAGAGCATTTTTGCCACCAGAGAGCAAAACTTGGGGCAGGGTAACACCAGATAGAGTCACCAAGACCACAGCTTGTCCTTTTCTCCATCATTCCGCAGATATGCCATCAGTTCCACTGTTGAGTCGCTGTCTGCCAGCCTGGTCACGCTCCACAGTGTGGCAGAGCATCGAGATGGTGCAAATAGCGAGAAAAGAGCCAGGAGATTTTCTACCTTCAACTCCCACCCCCTCCCTGCTCCTCTTTTGCCTGCCCCCTCCACTTCCCCGCTGAAGGCACAGACACCTACTGCCCATGGAAGCTATTCCTAAGCAATCCCGGGCATCTGGGGAATGAGGCTCTGAGCAAATATCAGAGCGTGTGTGTGCAGAGAGTGCACACACATGCACACACACACACACATGCACAGCCACGGTGCTGCTGCAAAGTCAAATATAGACCTTGTGGAAGGGAAACAATGGCTGGGGTTGGGTTACATGGCTGTAGGGCCAGCGAGCTGCTGTTTGTTGTGGGCTGGGGTGGAATTGGAAAAGCACGGGGGGTGGGATGGGGGAGAACATTTGTTTTAACCTAGAGACCCCGGGCTGGTGCTGTGCGTAGGGCGGAGAGGGTGACCCAGAGCAAGAGCTGAAGAGGATGATCATTTGAGTTGGCAGCTCAGAGGTGTTTTCAGTCTTTCTCCAGCTTCTTTATGCTGCTTTTCTGCCTTTCTTGAGGAATTAAAGTGAGCAGGAAGGACTGAATTTCTCTGGGCTTCTGCACAGGGAGGAGTTTCTGCTCTGGAGAAGGCTTCTTTGTGAAGGAGAAGAGGCAACGTTATCTGTTTTCTCAGCCCACCATCTGCTTCTTGTCCCTGATGTCTGGCTGCCTCCAAGGTGCAAGTTCCAGACTCCGGAAGAAAGGGAAGCAGCTTCAGCTGGTTTTGACAGGTAATTCCTCCCTCTGTCTGTGAGTGGTGACCGTGTGTTGGGATGATGGCGGGGGAGGGAGTCTTCATCTAGCATGCATTGGAGGGAAAACCATGACAAGATGTTGCTCCAGTTCTCACTCCAGGTCCCTGCTTTGTGGGATTTCCTTCACTGGAGGGAAAAGCCATGGAGGGACTCTTATGGCTAGGAAAAAATCCTTCCTAATTTTGATCCAGCAGCTGTTCCATCTGAGACGCCTCTAGGGATGGCATAGCAGGGATCAGAGCCTAGCAGAGCAGGGTCTAAGCCAAGCACAGGAATCCCTTCAATGCCCACTTCTTAGGTCTGCAAATAAAGCTGCTCTGAATAAATAGTACTGGGCAGTCCATGGACTGACATAGTGAACCTGAGACACAGGATAGTGCCTGGGGATGGGACTGGAGCCCTTCAGTGTGGAGGAAGGAGTGCACCCAAGGTCCATATTGCATGAGTCTCTTCTCCCTCCTCTGTATTACCCTTTTACTCCCATCCATCCAGGCCTGCTTCTCTCTGTGGTACTCACATGCAAAGCCAAACCTCAAGCCACAAAACACATTTCCTCAGATATCCCACCTTCTGAAATCCCACCCTGGATTCTGTTCTTCATTCCCCTTCCTCGGAGCTCAGATCTTCACCAACCAACTTCATCTCCTCAGCCTGGACAGGCCTGACTTGCTGGTACAGCTCTCACCTCCGAGAGAGGCAGCACAGGGAGAGCCATGATTCCCATTCTGCTGGCTGCACCCTCGCCCCATCTCCCTCTCTCACCGTGCTCCTGCTGTGGGTGCAGATGCTTACGGATACCGGCATGTGCCGGGGTCCCTCTGCAGGCCCCCTCCTCTCTGCCCATTCAAATGCACACACAGCATCCAGAGGGTTTCCTCAGGCACGTTCAAGCAGGTGAGGTTTAAGGGCACCGGGCACGGCTGTGCAATGACGCTGCAGTGCAGTGCGGTCAGGACCAGGGCAGACCCCAGCGAGGAATGCAGGAGCAGATGAGGATGTTGCAGGAGGTGGTGTTCTATCTGACACAGTTAGTGAAGGTGGTAGGATGTCAAGGAGGAGGTGAGGCTGAGGCTGAGCAGCCCACACTCAGTGTTGGAGGTGTCACCAGTAAACCCTTGGCCTCCAACCATGACTGGCAAAGAGTCCAAGGCAGGGTGTTGTGGGTGTCAGAGCAGAAATGTGGATCATTCCAGGTCCTAGAGCTGTAGTGATGGAAGGAGAGGCTGTCTGGTTTTAAACCAAGTCCCAGAATCTGTGCTTCATCCTCAGCCTCCCCCTCTCCATTTTGCTGCAAGCTCCAGACATGGTAGGAATCAGGGCTCAGAAGCAGGCTGAGCAGGGGATGAGAATGGATGTAGAATCACAGGAAGCATTTCAGGACAGCGCTGGTGCACACCTGTCTCATAAATATCTGAAGAGCTGATGAAGCAACCTAAGCAGGAGGTTTGGACTTCTCTGTCCCTCTGTCTGTGGGGTGATAGAGATGGGAGGAGGAAGAGGGCAAGGAAAGAACAGGGCTCCTGGCTGACAGGCCAGCAGGAAGGAGGCAGGAAGGAGGCAGCTCCTGCAGAGGTAGGCAGGGTGGTAGGTCCCCATTTATTGCTCAATCAGGTTGTGTTGTCCAGGCATGCCAAGGATGAGCAAGGAGGGGTCCCTGCTCAGAGCTGGCAGAGACCTTGGCTTTGATGGGCTTGTGCCTGGGCTCTTACTGGATCCTGGGGCCTGCAGAGCTCCCCATGGCTGCCACAGGGTGCTGACAGGGCTGTCAGGAGCTGCAGAGGGCTGGGGGGGACTGGAGAAGGTGAGAGCAGGGATGGGTTGAGCTTTGTCTAATGAGATGAGATGGAGTGTAAAAGCATCCATTAAGTGCATCCATTAAGCTCCAGACATGGTTCTTCTTCCTTCCTGGTGAAAAACAGCAAACCTTGTGGGATACAGGGGTGGAAAAGAGCTGAGTGGTGTGAGCTTGTAATCTAATTAAGGATTGCTAGGACCTTTGAAGGTGACAGCTATGATCTTGTCAAGCAGCAGAAAGGCCATGCAAGGTGAGGAGGAGAGCGGGCAGCTGTTTCATCTGAAGATGTGACAGCCCAGACCTTCTCCCACGGCTGCCTTATTGTTCCTTATCGTCCACTGAAGTGCTGATGTCCACATCTCATTAGCGGCAGTGAGAAAAATGCTGGGGACCACAGCTTCTCTGGATGGCTTCTTTTTTGGGGGGTGACTACTACAAGTTGAACCTTTATTTTAAGGATGGGGCTTCTAAATCCTACAGTTTGCCCGTGGAGGTGTCTTAGTGGACCCTGGGGACATCAGGGAGGGGCTGCAGGAGGTGTTTTTACTTATTAGTATTATTTCAGATAATCTGAGCAAAACGAAGGCTCGGATCATCGCGCACCTATTTCCGAGAGGGACGCCAGGCTGAGAGGCTCCGTGCCCCGCGGGACCGCGCCCCAGCCCTGGCGAGGGCGGCGAGCGCTGCATCCCCCGAGCCCCGGGCAGGGATACCCCAGCGAGGGCGCGCCCCTGCGGGATCGCCAGCCCGGGCACCTCTCGGTGCTCCGCGATCGCTGCTGGGGCCGGGGCCGCTGAGCCCCCGGTGGGGCGGTGGGGGCGGGCGGGGCCGTGCCGGGATCCCCCCGGCCCCGGCGGCGGGAGCAGGGCAGGGGTGAGCGGGCAGGGCGGGCCGGGCCGGGCCGGGGGCTGCCTGCGGTTTGGGGCGGCGGGAGGCGGGATGTCCCGGGGAGGGAGCGGGGATGTGCAGGCACACGCAGCCGCTGGCAGGCGGCCGGGGCTGCACGGCGGCGGCGGCGGCGGCGGCGGGCGGAGCGGCGCGGCACACGCGGCGGCAGCTCCCTCCGCAGCCCCGCGCCTCCAGCCCCGCCGCCGCCGCACCGGGCATGGCCGCCCCCCGCCGCCGCGCCCCGCGATAGCCCCACGAGCCGCCGCGACGCCGAGGTGAGCAGGGCCGGGCAGCGCAGCGCCCCAGCCCCGCCGGGCCCCTTTCCCCGCCGCCGCCCCGGCCGCAGGGGCACCGCCGGGGCTCCGCGCAGGGTCCGTCGGGGCAGCCCTGGGGTGGGGCTGGGGAAAGGCGAACCCCCCGCGCCGTGCCCCTCCGGGGGGCACTGGGGCTTGGGGTGGTCCCCGAGCCCCGGGGGGAGGGGCGGGGGGACAGGCGCGGCGAGCCGCAGCGGCGCGGCATCCCCCGGGCTCCCTGCCCCGCTGCCCCCAGAGCCCGCCCGAGGGTCCCGGTAGCCTCAGACTTGGAGCAGTGCCTGGGAGCCCGCGTCCTGGGGATGCCCCCGGTGGTCCCCAAGCGCACAGAGGTCCCTGATACCCTCGAAATGGAGGTTAATAGACTCGGGGATCGTCCCCGCAGCACCCGGAGGTCTGGCAGCCACCAGCCCGGGCAGGCAGAGGCGGACGAGTGGGACGGAGGGAGCTCCCTCGCCCGTGTCCGTGCGACCGAAAGCCAGGCCTGCCCAGGTGCGAGCTGCTCACACCTCTCCCGGGCACCAGCTGCCAACCGGGATGCCGGGATCCGGATCGACCCCGGGGGTTCTGCCGGGAGCAGCACCCGCAGGTTGACTAGGTCAGGAGGCCTGAGGGTCTGCTCCTCGAGTGGGGAGCTGTGGGGGAAAATCAGCCTTTGCAATGGGGAAAAATCAGCCTTTGCAATGGGGATAGAACAGCCTTTGCAATGGCATATGATCGGAGCTTGTGCTTCTCACAGTGCTGAAGGAACATGATACCACTCTTCAGCCCTAAATTATTTTATAAGTTTCATAGCAATTGCTTCACCCTCCCCTGAAATGCAGCAGCTGTTTGCCACTGCCCAGTATTTAGGGGCAGGAGGCAAAGGAGGGTCCTGCAAGCATGTTGTCAAAGGGACTGTGGAGAGGGAAGATGCAGCAATCCATGGTGGGATTTGGCTGGGGCAGGGGCAGTAACATCCTGTAGCCCCTCTGAAAATGCTGCATCCTTAGTTGGTGGTGGTTTGTTTGCTGGAGAGATGCTTCAAGCAACATCATTGCTTTTGTGGGCTATTTTGTCCGGTCCAGGGAGGTGAAGCTCTTAGCAGGGACCCCAAAGCCTCTTGCTGCAATGCACGTGTAAGTGTGAGTGGGAGGACTTATGTCCCCATCTTAGAAGTCTCTCACACAACTATGGACCAAACATAACCTTCCAGAGCTGAAGAGTCAAGCTGAAAGTGGAACGGCCCCTGTTCATCACACCCACGCAGCTGGGTAGAGTCTGCTCCATACCTTCACCATTCTCCTAACAGAACACTTTAACCCCTCCCATCTCATTACAGTAATGTATTTATGATATCACCCTCGAATTTCCTGCCCTTAACAACCCCAGAAGGCTGGGAGGGAATGAAGCATTTTTGGAAAGTATATAATGCTACTTCAAGAGGGCAGGAGGCGGTCGGAAAATGGATGGGTGCAGGAAGCTCGGGCTGACGGGGCTCTCTGCAGGACAGCTGAGGAAAAGGAACACACCTCGTGAGAGGTGTGTGTTCACATTTCCTGCCTGGGGCTGCAGCCCAGCTCTAGTGCCTGCTGCTGCACTCTCTTGCTTGGACAGTGAAAGAGGGCTGCTGTTTTGTGCCTGCTGCTCTGCTCTATCCACTGGACTCCCTGCTCTGCTGCAGGGTTTGAAAGGCAGCCTGGGCACTGTGAAGAGCACTCAGCCCATCTATTCATGCAAATGTGCACAGGAGGACCTTATTTAACACAGAGCTGAAGTGTCCCAGATTAGGGAGGGAAGGTGAAGGTCCCCACAGCTGGGTGGGTATTTCTGGGTTTCTGATCTCCTGACAGCAGCTACCAAGGGCAGGTGCTCCAAGATGTGCTGCAGCAGCCTGAGCTAATACACCCTCAGGATTGAATCTGCACACTAGGTTCTCCTGTACACATTTTTACATTTTCAAAAGCTTTTTAGTTCTTAGTGCCCCAACGCTGAATTAGAGGGAGGAGTCTGGATGGAACAGAGGGGAGTGTGGTGACAAGGCTGTGTAAAGCTGGATGTTTCAACTCAAGCTCCCAGGCAGTAGAGAGGAGCTGCGGTGTCAGCCAAGGGATTTTCCTGAACTTGCTCTTTTTCTCTCTGTAGGTGTTCATCTCGGTGGGGCCACACTGACCATGCTCAGGAGCTTCTGTCTCCAGCTCATGTCCTTGATTTGGATCCTCTTGGCCCATCACCAGCTTGTGCAAGGTGAGTCTTTGTAGACGTGGGTCCTTCTCCTTCATATCCATTTTTTCCAAATCTGTCCTTGGTATTGTTGAAGTCTCCTCATCTTTCCATGCAAAATTGAGATGGAAAAAGCAGAAAATGCTGCCTGGTTGTTAAATCACCTGGGGTGTGACACTGGAGGCGCCTTAGAAACTCTTGCCCACAGGGGTGGCAGAGACATCCCTGCTGGTCTCTCTCCATTTGGTTTGGGAACCCATTCACCCTATGAGCTTGCTCAGGGGAAAGAAGGTCCCAAAAGTGAACAGCTAACCCTGAATCCAGTGAGACAAAATCCTTTCCCAAAGATTAGTTTGCTCTATCCCTCACTCTGGATAGGCAATGAATTCCCAAAGCCATGTGCTGGGAGAGATGGTTACAAATAGGAAAGGTGGCAATACCCAGGCTTGGGGCTGAGCAGTCCCAGGATGCTGCTCCAGCTCCACAGTGACTTGTTTTAGGAGGCTCTGACCCTGTGCAGTGGGACCTGCTGCCCCACTGCAGCAAAATTGCATGCACAGGGGATTTGTTCCCCTGATCATTTTCCCAGGCAGCACAAAATGCTGCTTGGGAAAGCCTGAGCAGATCTTGAGGCATGGGGGCTTTAATCTGTTTCAGTCCAGGATGGAGGGGCTCAGGTAAGGACATTCACCTCCTGGGCATGGCCTGCACAAGATTTGCACAAGACTTCTGAGGAAACCCCCTGCTTCTTGACATCTGCTCTAGTTCTGCTGCTCACGAAGCCAGAGTGAACCAGCTCCCCTGTGGAGCTAAGATGCAAGCAAGTGATGGGGAAGAGGGGAAGGTGGAGATGAAAGGGAACACTGGCACAAAGGAGAGAATGAGAAGTGGCACAGTGAGGCCATAGCTCAGTTACAGCTTCTGTGGCTTTTAAATAAATAAACAGAACTGGATACCTGGCCCCATGTGATGCCAAGTCCTGCTTCCCTGTGCTGGAAAGGGAGTGCTGGCAACCGGGTTCCAGAAGAGGGCAGGAGCCCCTGGCAGACTGCTCTGTGCCAATAGCTGTCCTTGGAGACGGTGACATCCTGGGAGGTAAAGAAGAATCATTCTTTCCATTTCCATCCTTGGCCCCTTTGTGCCCCTTGCAGTACTTGGCCCTGAGCTTTCCCATCACACTTACTGCAAGACTGTGGGACCGAGGTCCCAGATAGGTCAGTCCCTCTTACACAGGTTGTCTTAATGCACAGGCAACCCCAGCTCTTGGCCAGAAGGGCCCAAAATCTAAGGGAGGCAGCAGAGAAAAGGTGGGGAAGATGAGCAGAGACTGGGTAGTTTTGAAGCAGAGCCCCATTTCCAATAAAGACAGTGTTATTGACAGTGGACTGTGAAATCTTCATTTCTTGTGTGAATCCAGTGAGTGAAAGGAAGGTGCCCCACCTTACAGTTCTGGGGAGAGGTAGGCTGAGCACTTAAGGAAACACCCAGGGTCATGGGCAGATCTGGAATAATCTATAGTCTCTGCTTAACCCAAGTCCACATGTCTCTTGTCTTGCAGGGGATGACTGCAGTGAGCGCTGCAATCTCGCCCACGGCTGCTGTGACCAGGATGGGAAGTGCAGGTATGGCTTGTCTGGCTCTCTGCTGCTCCTGGCTGTGACTGCTCTCCTTGACACTGTGTCCCTGGTGCCTACACCCCTGCCCAGAGCTGAAACACCTCCAGCTCCACTCACTCACACCTGGAACCAATGACTCTACTCTCTTCTTACCTGACACACTCTGGAGTGAGAGACCCCTCTAGCCTTTGCTCTAGTGCTTCCCTGTCCACCATCACACACTGAGCACTGTTATTCTGCTGAGCCCTTTCTGTCTAGAGGGAAGCCTAGGACAGCCTGGCCGTGCCTGGGTGATGGGAAGCAGCCTTTAGGCTCAGATATGATGAGGGAAAGTCATCAGGCAGCAGGGCAGGCATCAGGGTTGGCCAGCTTGCTTGGCCGCCTCACTGACTGAGATGGAGGTGCTCTCCCTGGGGCATGGAAGAGAAGGGCTTCCAGCCATGCATATAACTGAGGGCTTCAGGGGTTCCCTCTCAGAAGTCTGAGCTGGGGATCTCTGGATGTTTTCCATAAAGGGTTTACCAGCAAGCTGTGAGCTACAGCAGCAGAAGTGATACTTGGCATCCCAGCTCCAGCTGGCGCCCAGATCCTGCAGGGTCAAAGCTCAGAGCCTGACCCTGCACTTCAGCCTGGGAAGCACCCATATAAGTGCTCTGGGCTGCCACAGACAGCCCACTGTTGTCCCACTGCAGGGCCATCTGCAGCCCCCGCTCTGTAAGGCAGCACCTGGAGGCAAAGGCTGGCTTTGGGCTGGCTGGGACACCTGTGGCTGCCCACTGCCACCCTGTTCTCCTCACCAGGGCATGGTCAGTCCCCTTTGATAGGACAGCCCCCGGTGTCACACCACAGCTGGGCCACTTGTTCTTGCTGACTGCTGCATTGGGGAGTGTCCAGCTCTGGTTTGCAGCTGCACAGAGCTCCTCCCTGAGCCCCTTCAGCAGCTGTGGCTGCCTGGGGGAGCAGGGTGCTGCAAAGCCCAGTGAGAAAGGCCACCTGTCACCATGTGGCAGGTGTCCCAGCTGCAGACCTTTCCACATGTGAGTTGCTGCTGCTGATTTCAGGCCTCCAGAGCATTTGCTGAACCTTGTGGCTTGGCAGTACCTCAAAATCACCTCAAACTCAGGGAGACTTAGCTGCTTACCTGGCCCCCTTCCTGGCAATTTTTAGGTTGGCCAGTTCCCTTTTGGAGAAGTGGAGGAGTTGATAGCGCCTGCTCCTTGCAGGTACTGGGGGATAGGTGTATCCACATCCCTCTGCTCAGGGCTGTCCAGGTATGCATGTATTTCCCCAGACTATACCAGGCACATGGCATCACCTCCAGTCCCAGAGAAAAGCCTCTAATTAATATATGTGTGTATGTGTATATATATATATATATATATGTATAGATATATATATAATTTTTTTGACCATTTTCCTCACTCCTTATCTTTTGGAACAGCCTACAGGTGACAACAGCCAACCCAGGTTTGAAAGTGCAGCTGTGGGCCAGCCCAAAGAAACTGCAGTCACCACACTTTGTGCTGAAATGAGCCCCAGCCATGAAAATGAGCCCCCTTCCTTACTCTAGAAAGTGTGTTGTTTTTGTTGGGTTTCATTTTGTGCTGGTTCGAGTATATCTTTTGTTGTGGCTTGGTGCCACCTCCTCTCAGCTCTCATCTTGTTATCACTTGCTTTCTGCCTTGGAGCTGGCAGGTCTGAGGGATGCCTGCCACGGGAGCCATGCAGCCTGGCTTCACTTAGGCATTGCCACTGCCCTGCTCTTCTGGGGCCAGAAGGCTCCTTGTGTGCCCCAGGTTCTGCCATTGCACTGCCCCTGTGAGCTGGCTGAGGAGTCTGTTCTGTGCACCAGCCACAGCAAGCAAGGTTTCACTGCTGGCTTACAGTGCACTCCAGACAAGAAGTTATACACATTGTAATGCAGAGAGGAGCAGTGAGACACACAGACCTCAGCAGCCTCTTGTCCCTTTTTCTCAGGAAGCTCAGAGTTAGGCATGGGCTTCTCTCTGCCTGTCAGAGTGGCTGCCTGCTGTGGGAGGCACAGGAATTCCTGAGCAGGGGTGTATACAGAGGGGCTGGTTGGAGGAGAGCAGAGGGATGTGGGCAGTGAAAGTGAAGCTGCTGAGCTCTGCTGCTGGCCACTCACCCTCCCTGGCTGCAGGGGTGTCTCCTACTCTGCCTGCTTGCTTCCTTGGGCAGATGGGACGCCAGTCCTTACCTCTGGAGGAGGGAGCTAGGAGGTCCGTGGGGCCTTTGGGAGGGTTTCTGAACACTGCTGTGCCTGTAGGAGCCCTGCACAGCACACAGACAGCTTTTGTGCAGCCCCTGCTTGGATCTGATTTGATGATATGATTTGATTTGATTTGATTTGATTTGATTTGATTATGGTGCTTTGCCCTGTCCTCGTGCAGGTGCGATCCAGGCTGGGAAGGGGAGTACTGCGAGGAGTGCGTGCGCATGCCGGGCTGTCTTCACGGGACGTGCCACCAGCCTTGGCAGTGCATCTGTCACTCTGGCTGGGCTGGCAAGTTCTGTGACAAAGGTGAGTCGTGGGCTCGACATCCCTGCCTCTGGTGCCACATGCTCATGGATATGTCAGCCAGCGTAGCCAGAAGCCACCTGGGTGATGCCGTTTTGGCTGCCTGGGAGATGGGATTTTGCCTGGCAGCCACAGCTGGGACCATTCCCTTCCTGCAAGAGGTCAGACTGCTGACACTTGTTCCCTGACTGTATGGCAAGAGCTGGCATGGCACTGGCCAGCCTCAGGAAATGGAGCAGATGAACTCATTGCATTTCCCGTGCTGCATCAGGACTCCAAGCAGCATCCCCTGCTTTTCCCAAGGCTTCCTGCCTTCAGCACATGGCTGGGGGACTCCCCTTCTCCAGCCCCAGGGACCTATCTGTACCAGGAGGTCTCCACAGGTCAGACAGTTGGCATGCACTGTATCTTCACAACCACACAGGCACTGCACTTCTGTTGCTGCATGTGCCTGTTGGAGGGGAGAAGAGAGAAGCTCCTGCCATTTCTCCATCCCCAGGGGTTTGGTGGGTTGTGTTTGCACTGAGCTGGCCACATCAACCCTCTTTTCTCCCTAATTCACACCATTTTTTTTCCCCTCAGACATACACATCTGTGAACACCAGTCCCCCTGCCAGAACGGGGCACAGTGCATCTACGATCGAGATGGGGAGTATTCCTGCCTGTGTCCAGAAGGTTTCCACGGGAAGGACTGTGAGATGAAGACAGGGCCATGTGAGAAGGCAGGGTGAGACACTGCAGTGAGATTACAGACACCATTAACTTTGGGTCACACACTGCCAAGCGGAGGCCCAGCTTGGCTCGTTACCTGTGAATTTCCATACAGTAATGGAGTTAAGCCAAAATCACCTTTGGCTTTGGTTTAGCAGCGTGCAGTGCACGGTCCCACCAGGGTAAGGGCTTTGTTGCAATCTGAACAGATTCCTGTCCCTGTTGTAGGACAGGAATCTGTTCATCATGCCTGGGACATCCTATCTCTGAAGCAGCCAAACTGCTGCAGGCATCGTGAGCTAACATCCATGATGCCTTTGGGGAGCATCAGGAGGGCATGTTTCCTCTTCAGGTCGGTTGGCTGAAGACCTTCCCTGGTGGGTGGTGGGCCTGTGCACACCACAGCCTTTGAGGAGTGAGGCCTCTCACTCAAGGAGACAGAAACTCCCACCCAGTCTTCTCCTAGAGATAGCTGCCCCCACAGAGAGAGCTGGACACACTGACCATGCAAGCAGCTCTGCATGTCTACCTCCGTGGGTGGGGGAAGCTGCTTGGTCTCCAGGGCCATGACCTATCCTTGCTGTCTCCACACAGGTCTCCATGCAAGAATGGTGGGCAATGCCAAGACGAAAATGGCTTTGCCAGTAACTTCACCTGCCGGTGTCTGGCTGGCTTTGTGGGGGCTCTCTGTGAGCACGACGTGGACGACTGCCTGATGCGCCCCTGTGCCAACGGGGCCACCTGCCACGACGGCGTCAACCGCTTCTCCTGCCAGTGCCAGGTGGGCTTTGAGGGGCGTTTCTGCACCATCAACATCAACGACTGCGCCAGCCAGCCCTGCAAAAACGGGGCAAAGTGCTATGACCGCATCAATGACTATGACTGCTTGTGTCCTGACCGTTTCACTGGCAAGACCTGTGACATCTCCGTCCCTGAGCCCACCTGGTCTCCTCCCTACCACCCTGCCAACCATGAGAATGCTGGAGGAGTGAAAAGCACCACTAGTGAGACGCCAGGGGTGACGCAGCCAGAGCCCATCAGGACTGTGGTCACAGGGCGGCGTGTGGCCAACCACAGTGAGAAGGAGCCGGGGGGAGGGTTGTTGAAAATCTCTGTGAAGGAGGTGGTGACCCAAAGGGACTCAGGGCTGAGTGACGCCCAGCTGGTGACAGTGCTGGTGTTCGGGGTGCTGACAGCAGTGCTGGTCCTCATCACTGTCCTGCTCATGCTGAGGAACTGGCAGAGAGGCCGTCAAAGGTCGAACTGGTGCCAAAGCCCTTCTCAGGCTGCAAGAAAGCTCCAAGACCAGGAGTGTCAGGTGGGCATGCTCAACACCATCTTGATTGAGCCAAGGAAGACTACAGAGCTGTGAGCTGCGAGGACTCTGAACCAGGCCCTGGCAGGTCATCGTGCCGGCAAACTCCTTGAACTGCGCCCTGCGGAGCCACACCGGCACCCACTGGGCAGCGGGGAAGCACTACCAGGGCAGCAAACACATCAACAAAACCCTGGGTGTTGAGCACTGGTGAGATGGCCCTGCCCGGGTCTGAGCTGTCTCCTGCCTGGCTGGCTCAGCTGGCACTCATGGCATTTGAAGGCAGGGCTGTGTTGGGCCAGCCCTGCAGGGGAGCAGTAGTGCACTGCCTGCAGCAGCCCGTGCCACACAGGCACTGCTATCATCTGATCCAGCTCTCAGAAACAGGACAGGTAGTGCTGAGCAGGGCACAGCCCTCCTGCAAGCCCAAATACTGCCAGACCCTTTGTAACTCCTCTCTGTGACTACGGGAAGGGGATTTATCTTCATTTCTGCTGGTGTTGGGATGCTTCTTCTGGGGCCTTTGATACAGTTGTGGCTGCATGGGTCTCCCTGCCACAGTACTGTGTGGGGTAGTTCCTGGCTGTTTCTGGAGGCTGTCATTTCAGATGCCATGTCCCTAGGGAGTGAGCAAACACCCTTGCTCCCTGGCCTTGTGGTTCTGTGAGCCAGTTCAAAGAGACTTCAAAAATCATTGCAGGTCTCATGCCCTTCTTCTGCCCTGGCTGATGCACCCTCCTCTTGCTGTCAGACTTTGGGGTTACAAACGTGTTCCACACTTTGCTCCTGATAATCCAGGAGTCTCTCTGACTCACTTACTAAGCCGTCCTTTCTGGTCTGGCCACAAATGACCAAGATCCTTTGCCTCTGCAGTGTGCACTTCTGCCTCACTATTTGCTCTCCTCTGGGCCTTCTCATATGTCCTCATAGGTGAAGCTGGAGATGGATAAGGCTGTGCTGTGGCTGGTTCAGGAGCAATACAGGATCCAGGTCCTCCTTTCCTCTCCCATTCCTTCTGAGGCAGGCAGCTGGCTCTAACCTCAGATCAGTCACTGCAGTGTTCCTCGAAACAAGGGCTGAACTCCCCACAGTGGATGTGAGCCTGGGATGAACACAGGAAACAGACACAAGACTGCCTTCTCCACCATTGCTAAAGCATGGCTGAGAGGCAGCAGATGGTCAGGTCACTTAGCCTTTGTACCTGTTCCTGCCTGTGCTGGTCTGGTGTGCAGCATCAAGACCTGAATCTCTCTCCCAGGACCAGGGATTTCTGTGCCTCCTCATGGGCATAGGTGGCTAAGCAGTGGGGCAAAACTCCCCACAACCCAAACCCTACTACTGGCTTGTAGGGTTGCAGAGCTGGGTCCAAGGTGGTGTGAAGTGAGCCAAGAGGTGACTGCTCAGGCCAGGAGTGAGACCTGGGAGAGGGGACTGGGGCTTCATCAGAAAGATTATTTTTTTAATACATGGATGGATTATGTACCTTTATCAAATAAAACAAGTACAAGCTCAGAAACAGTGTATCAGAGAATCATAAAACAATTTAGGTTGCAAGGGACCTCTGAACACCAACCTCCTGCTCTCAGCACATGCAAGTAGATCGGGTTGCTCAGCAACTTGCTGAGTATCTCCATCACTTCCCTCAAGAATGCAAACCCAGACTGTGACACAGGAGTTGTCCTGCCTTATTCTCCATCTGCAGGGATGGGGATGGCTCCTACAGCTTCAGGGAATGGAATGGCACCTACCCCTGGACAGCATAGCAGAGGTGTGGGCTAGGCATTTCCCTAAGAGTGTTGGGAAGTAGGAGTCCCAGGTGCCTATGGCAAAAGCAAGATCCTAAAACTGAAAGCAGCTGTGGGTTTTGTGCAACTGGGAGCAGGGCAGGAGGGATAGAGAATTTCCCTTGAGGGAGTGGTCTTCAAATGAACTAGCCTTGGAGGCCTTTAATGCAATTGCATTCTAGCCCCTCCAGGGAAAGGCCTTTTCCACTGAAAACCAGTGGAAAAGTAGTAAAGTCCCTGGGTGCAACCTTCTTGGCTTGGAAAAGCCTTCTGGGAATAGTAGAGGTAGGTAGGGCTGTTTTCAAGTAGAGAGGGGATCACTCTTGTGTCTCATAAGGAAATTAGTGTCTGGTGACTAAAAGGGCCAAGGACCTGAATCAACAGCTTCACAAGGATATTTCCACTTTATTTTACATTGCATATGTCAGACTAAGTGTCAAACTAGGAGTTACTGATTCTTCAGTGAGTAGAAAATCCCTCTGTAATCTCAAAGGGAAACCTTGGAGGGGAGCAGGATCCCACCAACCAGGCTTACATAACTCTGAACAGCAGGTCACATCTTCCCTATCAAAGGAAAGGCCACAGTGCCACGTTCCTGTGCCTGAGGACACACAGCTGCTGCCTGCAGGCAGGAATAAGCCCCTTCCTCAGCTCAGCAGCTCCTGGCCCTGCAGGGACAGGGCTGGTGTCTGAGGTGCGAGGAATGCCAGACACCCAGCTGGAAGGGCTGCCTGGGCTGAGCCCAGGAGGGAGATCACTGCTGCCTGCTGTGCAGGAGATGCTGGAACAAGGAGCCATCTTTCTGGCTGAGGCGGGCCGGTGAGTCCAGCTCTGCCACTCTGCCAGCCTGCATCACCAGCACGCGGTCCGAGTCCAGGATGGTGTTCAGCCTGTGGACAACAAATGCCAGGACACACGCTGTTGGATCTGAGGAGAAGCTCTGGATACTGCTTCCCCTGCTGGGAAGGGTGGCCCAAGACATGGCCAACATCAGGAGCTGTGCAGGATCTCCCTCTGCACTCAAGGCCACAGTGCAGCTCCCCAGAGAGCCTCTGCTCCCTGCTGAAGTGCAGCACCTCTTAGGAGAGCACTGGGAAGCCTTCCAGCTGCTGGGCATGGCAGGGCACCAGGAGCACAGAGCGAAGTTCTGTGGGGGAAGCTCAGGGCATGCCTGATTCTGGGGTTGCACAAAATGTCTCCATCCCCACAGGGGTTAGTGAGTTGCTTTATTTGCCCCAACGTTTCCTCACCTGCCCCCTCCCAAGGGCAGCAGAAATTGTGCATCAGCTGTTATTCCTCTGCAGTCTAGCATCTTTGCTTATGATACCACCACCACTGGATTTGTCCTTGCCAGACAGCCAACCACAGGACCCACTGCACACATATGTGCCCAGGTCTGCCCAGACTGCCAGCAGAACAGCAGGCTCTGGCTCTGGATAGGGAACACAGGAGAGCAGGAATGTTTTTGCACATCCATGCACCATTCAGTGTGAAACTACAGCCCTGTGAAGCTGCAAATCACAAGGAAGACACTACACAGGATTTGAGCAGGTAAAGGCATTATGGAATTCAAGACTCTGGTTACACCTTCATCTCCAAGAGAGTGCAGACTGCAGCACTGGAAATGACTTGGAGGGGAAAAAGACAAGTACAGAGTCACCTCCCATCCTGGATTTTACCCAAAGCTGAGTGTCGCGGAAAACCATGGATACAAATCAACCCCATCATCACCTCTCTCTCCATACTGCTCCCCCTATTGCTTTTCACTCCAGTGGAAAAGGGGCTGGGGCCATCTTCATCTCAGTCTTGCTGCTTTGCCTTCTGCCACTCCTTCCTCTGCTGTTGCTCCTCTTTAATTACTCCCCCATCAAAGGTGGCCTGCCCACACCCAACCCAAACATACACCTCAGCCCACAGTGCCCTTGCACTTCTACTCTATTTATGCCTAACATCCCTAGTGTAGGAACCACATTCCCTTCACACCCCTCCTGCCTCCCTCCTACATAATGTATTTAACAAGACCCACTTGATTCACTTGCCAGGCCCAGCCCACCCAGCCTGTCATCCATCACTCCCACTCCTGTGCAGCAGGACACCAGCCTCTGCCACCTGCTCATTTGATTTTTATTTTTGTGGTAACCTCTGTGCTTTGAAAACACCCTCCATACAATTGCATAACCCTCCTCCAAACGCTCCTCCACTTGGCAAGAGTAAGAGCAGAGAACACCACCTAATGCTGATCCATCCCTTCTCTGCACTATTCATGTTCTGCCCTCCTCCCTCTGGCTGCAACCATGCACTGATTCTACTCCTAATCTCTCTGATGGGAGGCAATAATCACTGTTGTCCTGTCCTGCCTGGGCAGTGTCTATCTCGCTGGCATGAGGCGCAGGCTGGAACTAAACCTCAAAGGACAGAACCATCCAGGAGCTGGCTGCAGCCCTTTGCTGCTGGCTGTCCTGCACTGCCCTCTACTGAGCCAGGGACACCTGCTCCTCCCCTGTCTCTACATTGCCCCTTTCCATAGGATAGTTCTCCATTACTCCTCACCCCTAATGTGGCAGAACCATAAAGAACAATTCACCTGCCCTACCAGCAGGCAGTGCCCAGGAAGAGAAATCTGTGATATGATGCTGCATTTTGCCTTTTGCTGACACCAACTTCTGGGTACAACATTTTCCTCTTTTCACATCCAGTTGTTCCAGCACCCAGCAGAAAAGGCAAAAGGCAAGGTCAAGCTTTGGCACATAAAAAACTTTATCACAGAGACCTCCATGCTCAGCTTGAGGCCCAGGCATGGAGTGTGCAGGCACCTCTCCCCGAGAGTGGCAGGATGATTTAGGCACAGAGGTTCTTCCATACCTGTGAGCAATTGTCAGAACAGTTTTGTCGGCGAAGCGCTGGCGGATGGTCTGCTGCAGCAGCTGGTCTGTCTGCTGATCCACGCTGGCTGTGGCCTCATCGATGCACAGCACCTGCCAGGGACACGGAGTGAAGGCAGCTCCCACAGCAGAGACCCCCCTCCCTGGCTACAGACAGCCTGAGAAGTTAGCACGGGATATCTGTCCCCATTACACCTCCAACTGTGCACACTCCTCTGCTGTCCCCAGGCAGCCACCAGCAGGTCACCCTCCCCCTTGCTGCGACGGGGGCAGGGCACTCACCTTGGCCTGCGTCAGGAGGGCTCTGGCCAGACACACCAGCTGCCTCTGTCCCACAGACAGAGTCCTTCCCCTCTCTCCCAGCTCGCTGTCCAGTCCACCTGCAGGGAACAAGATCAGCAGTCACCTGCATCACCTACACAGGGCCCCAGACAGCTCCACCAGACCAAGGTTTTCCCAGTGGCACACAAAATCCCAATTCTGCTCGGGCCCAGGCCTTAGGAACTGGAGTCTTTACACTCAGACACGAGCAATATCTGGCACAGTTCCCTCAGAACTAAGGCCTGGCTTATCTCTCAGCTACTCCCCTAACACCCACTGAGGTCTGGTCTCACCAGCAAACTTCTGCCACCTAATCCATCATCTGCCAGTCCATTTGCCTCCAAATGTCAGGTAATGCCACCGGGTCCCACAGACTTGTTCCTACACTGGTTCTAACCTTGCCTAAGCCATTCCCTGCTGCATCCACCTCAGCTCCCTGCCTGAGCTAAGCCCTTTCCTCCTCTTGCAGAACCAGCACTCATCAGCTGCTTCTCACTGGTTTCCAGCTCACCCATCTGAGTAACAGCATCCCACAGGTGGCACTGCTCCAGCACCTCCTGGAGCTCAGCATCCGTCTGCTTTCCCTGGGGATCCAGGTTTTCTCTGATTGACCCACTGAACAAAAATGGATCCTGAGGGATGATGGCCAGCCTAGATCTGCAAGTAAACAGAAGCTGAGGGCTCATGGGATAGGTTCTGCAGAAAAGCAAAGATCTGCTACTTCTTTTTTCATGGGGTGTCTTAGTTTGCTACAAATCTTAGAGGCACAGAGACATTCAGCCTGGTTTCCTTAGCACAACTATCAAGAAATAACAGAGAGATTCATAAAAAGCTGCCACAATCAGAAAAGAGGATGCCACAACAGTGAGTCCTTTGCTCCTCACTCTTTACTTTGGCATCCAGCCACTGACAGCTACCC